GGGAGTGGGATACTATAGGGTGGGAGGGAGTGGGATACTATAGGGTGGGGGGAGTGGGATACTATAGGGTGGGAGGGAGTGGGATACTATAGGGTGGGAGGGAGTGGGATACTATAAGTACCACCTTTGTGGTGATATCTCTATCATAATTCTATACTAAGTATTCCAATACTATAGGCTAACGGGGAGGTCTTCTCGGTCTGGCTTGGGTGAGGTCGGGGAGTCCCGGAGGTGTTGACGGCCTTTGGGTGTCTAGTGGGAGTTCTGGTCAGTAATTATAATCAGCAACGTCCTATTGGATGTCACACGGAGCTTACTTTACGTAGACGTAAACATACCAGGTGACACAGAAGCTTTAGGTGATGTTTTTCACACCTCACTGATCAGTTGGGTTTTTAATACTTATTTAAATAAAGAGATGTCACGTTTAGAGGAACGTGTATGCGAGGGGGTAAATATTTAGGACTGGTACGTACATGTTCAGCATTTCAGTACAGACGAACCGGTTATAACTGAAAACGCAAAGTACATTGTAAGGTAAGAGTGTTCAATAAGCCACTGTTTGTGTGTTTATGTTTTAATTTCTTTCGGTACTGAAAGGTATTTGTAAGGACAAATATACAATTTAAAATCATGGTATCGATAAATAAGTCAATGTACATGTATCTGTCCCAAAGGAGTTGTTATATATTGCAGGTTATGCAGTGTGTATTGTTACATATTATACTGTATCTCTATGTTATACAGTGTGTATTGTTACATATTATACTGTATCTCTATGTTATACAGTCTGTATACTTATATTATACTGTATCTCTATGTCATACAGTGTGTATAGTTATATTAAACTGTATCTCCATGTTATACAGTGTGCATTGTTATATTATACTGTATCTCTATGTTATACATAGTGTATAGTTATATTATACTGTATACACACTGTATAACATAGAGATAGAGTATAATATATTTATAAAAACTGTATAACATGGAGATACAGAATAATATAACTATACACACTGTATAGTTATATTATACTGTATCTCCATGTTATACAGTGTGTATAAATATATTATACTCTATCTCTATGTTATACAGTGTGTATTGTTATATTATACTGTATCTATATGTTATACAGTGTGTATAGTTATATCATACTGTATCTCTATGTTATTCAGTGTGTATAGTTATATTATACTGTATCTCAATGTTATACAGTGTGTATAGTTATAATATACTGTATCTCTATGTTATACAGTGCGTATTGTTATACTATACTGTATATATATGTTATACAGAGTGTTTACTTATATTATACTGTATCTCTATGTTATACAGTCTGTATACTTATATTATACTGTATCTCTTTGTTATACAGTGTGTATAGTTATATTATATTGTATCTCTATGTTATACAGTGTGTATTGTTACATATTATACTGTATCTCTATGTTATACAGTCTGTATACTTATATTATACTGTATCTCTTTGTTATACAGTGTGTATAGTTATATTATATTGTATCTCTATGTTATACAGTGTGTATACTTATATTATACTGTATCTCTATGTTATTCAGTGTGTATAGTTATATTATACTGTATATCTATGTTATACAGTGTGTATTGTTATACTATACTGTATATATATGTTATACAGTGTGTTTACTTATATTATACTGTATCTCTATGTTATACAGCGTGTATAGTTATAATATACTGTATCTCTATGTTATACAGTGTTTATTGTTATACTATACTGTATATATATGTTATACAGAGTGTTTACTTATATTATACTGTATCTCTATGTTATTCAGTGTGTATAGTTATATTATACTCTATCTCTATGTTATACAGTGTGTATTGTTACATATTATACTGTATCTCTATGTTATACAGAGTGTATTGTTATATTATACTGTATCTCCATGTTATACAGTGTGTATATTTATATTATACTGTATCTCTATGTTATTCAGTGTGTATAGTTATATTATACTCTATCTCTGTATATATATGTTATACAGTGTGTTTACTTATATTATACTGTATCTCTATGTTATACAGTCTGTATACTTATATTATACTGTATCTCTATGTTATTCAGTGTGTATAGTTATATTATACTCTATCTCTGTATATATATGTTATACAGTGTGTTTACTTATATTATACTGTATCTCTATATTATACAGTGTGTATAGTTATATAATACTGTATCTCCATGTTATACAGTGTGTATTGTTATATTATACTGTATCTCCATGTTATACAGTGTGTATTGTTATATTATGCTGTATCTCTATGTTATACAGTGTGTATACTTATGTTATACTGTATCTCTAAGTTATACAGTGTGTATAGTTATATTATACTATATCTCTATGTTATACAGTGTGTACAGTTATATTATACTGTATCTCTATGTTATACAGAGTGTATTGTTATATTATACTGTATCTCTATGTCATACAATGTGTATTGTTATATTATACTGTATCTCCATGTTATACAGAGTGTATTGTTACATATTATACTGTATCTCTATGTTATACAGTGTGTATTGTTATATTATGCTGTATCTCTATGTTATACAGTGTGTATAGTTATATAATACTGTATCTCCATGTTATACAGTGTGTATAGTTATATTATACTGCATCTCTATGTTATACAGTGTGTATAGTTATATTATATTGTATCTCTATGTTATACAGTGTGTATATATATATTATACTGTATCTCTATGTTATACAGCGTGTATAGTTATAATATACTGTATCTCTATGTTATACAGTGTTTAGTTATATTATACTGTATCTCTATGTCATACAGTGTGTATAGTTATATTATACTATATCTCTATGTTATACAGTGTGTATAGTTATACTGTATCTCCATGTTATACAGTGTGTATTGTTATATTATACTGTATCTCTATGTTGTACAGTGTGTATAGTTATATTATACTGTATATATATGTTATACAGTGTGTTTACTTATATTATACTGGATCTCTATGTTATACAGTGTGTATAGTTATACTATACTCTATCTCTATGTTATACAGTGTGTATTGTTATACTATACTGTATATATATGTTATACAGTGTGTTTACTTATATTATACTGGATCTCTATGTTATACAGTGTGTATAGTTATACTGTATCTCCATGTTATACAGTGTGTATAAATATATTATACTCTATATATATTATACTCTATCTCTATGTTATACAGTGTGTATAGTTATAATATACTGTATCTCTATGTTATACAGTGCGTATTGTTATACTATACTGTATATATATGTTATACAGTGTGTTTACTTATATTATACTGTATCTCTATATTATACAGTGTGTATAGTTATATAATACTGTATCTCCATGTTATACAGTGTGTATAAATATATTATACTCTATCTCTATTTTATACAGTGTGTATTGTTATATTATACTGTATCTCTATGTTGTACAGTATGTATAGTTATATTATACTGTATCTCTTTGTCATACAGTGTGTATAGTTATATTATACTGTATCTCAATGTTATACAGTGTGTATAGTTATAATATACTGTATCTCTATGTTATACAGTGCGTATTGTTATACTATACTGTATATATATGTTATACAGAGTGTTTACTTATATTATACTGTATCTCTATATTATACAGTGTGTATAGTTATATAATACTGTATCTCCATGTTATACAGTGTGTATTGTTATATTATACTGTATCTCCATGTTATACAGTGTGTATTGTTATATTATACTGTATCTCTATGTCATACAGTGTGTATAGTTATAATATACTGTATCTCTATGTTATACAGTGCGTATTGTTATACTATACTGTATATATATGTTATACAGTGTGTTTACTTATATTATACTGGATCTCTATGTTATACAGTGTGTATAGTTATATAATACTGTATCTCCATGTTATACAGTGTGTATTGTTATATTATGCTGTATCTCTATGTTATACAGTGTGTATTGTTATACTATACTGTATATATATGTTATACAGTGTGTTTACTTATATTATACTGTATCTCTATGTTATACAGTGTGTATAGTTATATTATACTGTATCTCTATGTTATACAGTGTGTATAGTTATGTTATACTGTATCTCTAAGTTATACAGTGTGTATAGTTATATTATACTGTATCTCTATGTTATATAGTGTGTATACTTATGTTATACTGTATCTCTAAGTTATACAGAGAGTATAGTTATATTATACTGTATCTCTATGTTGTACAGTGTTTAGTTATATTATACTGTATCTCTATGTTACACAGTGTGTATAGTTATATTATACTGTATCTCTTTGTCATACAGTGTGTATAGTTATATTATACTCTATCTCTATGTTATAGAGTGTGTATAGTTATATTATACTCTATCTCTATGTTATACAGTGTGTATAGTTATATTATACTGTATCTCTTTGTCATACAGTGTGTATAGTTATATTATACTCTATCTCTATGTTATACAGTGTGTATAGTCATATTATACTGTATCTCTATGTTATACAGTGTGTATTGTTATATTATACTGTATCTCTATGTTATACAGAGTGTATTGTTATATTATACTGTATCTCTATGTTATACAGTGTGTATAGTTATATTATACTGTATCTCTATGTTAAAAAACATAAATTGTTATATATTATATATACATGGTATACGATATAAATTGTTATATATCGTATCTCTATGTAATACAGTGTCTATAGTTATATATTGTATCTATATGTTATACAATATATATTGTTACATATTGTATATCTATGGTATACAATATAAATTGTTATATATCGTATCTCTATGTTATACAATGTTTATTGTTATATCTTAAGCAGTGGTGTCGTGATTAATGGAAAATGCGTTCATTGTTTAGCCTTGCTTATGTTTACGGGATATTTAAGTGTTTATTTTTTGACACCGGGGCTTTCTTAGAACATGTTCATAATGTTTTCCAGCATCCTAGCTAGCATAAAATAATGCTAGAATAAACGACCTTATCGATATGTTCCCTTTTCTGATGCTGGAAAAACATCAAAATCTGCCTCCCTAACTGTATATACTAAGTAAAAAGCACGAAACCCCCCACCTGATAGTGTAAATAACATTGTTACTAAATGTTTATCCCAAAGTTCCTACAGTGAATGTAATAAATCAACAGGTACTCTCGATCGTCAGAGTGATCTTTTAAGTTATACGTGACGTTACAAAATTGGAATGTTCGATTTGCACTGAAGAATGCCCCTCCAGACATTATTAATATTCCACTGTATATATGTGTGGTTACATACTATGAAACTAAACCTAGGTCTAATTCTATGTTGACTTTACAAGTATGACGTACAGTATGCTGTGGTGAGTCTTGTACATTTTGTAATACGCGTCGAACGTATATGGTCACAGGGAATTGTTACAGTAGGTATATATTGACCTATCCTGTGTAATGAAACATATTGTATTAGACATGTGTAAGTTTGACACCACCACTTGGATGAAATTTTCTCCCCGCCCCAATGTTTTTTAGTATTATTCTTGGAAGGGGGATAGCCCAATATTTACTTCGAACACACCAGTTATAATCAATATATTGTAGGCCCAAACAGGGCTGCTGTAACAAAGTTTTCAGGTCCCTGTGGAAAGCACTATTTATCTTTAGCCAAGCCAAATCTGACAATATTTTGCCATTATCTATGTTTCGTTCTTTTTGTTTTCAAATGTTGTATTCACCCCAAGGCAATTAATATACTAGAATAGTTTATTCGCTCAAAAGCTTCCATTCTGTTAATATTCCAAACATTCTACCATAGACTGAACATTTAGAGACAGTGTTCAGCAAAGGTTTAGAAATGTATTACGGCTTAAAGCGTTGGACAACAAAGATATTTCTGAATATTTCATTGAATCTTGGGAATCATTGGGAACATTAACATTGTGTCTGCTTCATGGATTTAATATTTAACAATATCAGATCCATAACAAGACAAAAATCTGTTTTTCTCCTTCCTTGGATGTTTTTTTGGATGCATTCAAGTGTCTCAGAGGTGATGAACACTATAACATGGGCTTGTGTGGCAGTTTATATCGGCTTTCCCAACGTTTTGACTGACATTGATATATAAACGTATTTGTTTACTCCGATTATGTATACTCTATGTGCATTTTGTCCTTGAGATAACTTAATGGTTTGGTTTGGTTTAATCTTGTTTAACGACCAGGTCATTTAAGGTCGTGCCTTCAAGCGTCTGTGTCGAAGACATGGCTTGTTGGTGTATTTGCCTCTTTGTGATAGCGCAGATCTGATGCCGACTTTATAGTGTTATCTCCATTCCGAAGGCACCCAACACAGTACTCCGCCCGGTCACATTATACTGACAACGGGTGAACCAGTTGTTGCCTTTTTTCTAAATGCTGAACGTTAAGCAGGGAATAACAACTACCATTTTTAAGGACTTTAGTATGCCCCGGCCTGGGTACAGAACCCATTGCCTTCCTCACCTGGGCGAACGCTCAAACACTAAAGACTGAAGTGAGGAGTTGCCAAGCAAGGCCCTAGGAAGTAAAAGGTAGTTAGAAATAGGAAGAAAGATACAGATCCAAGTATTGCAATGGGTAGAGCAGACACCAAAGCAGCCCCAATTCTGCAGGGGGTTCCAACATTAGTTGCCTCTTACGATACAAGCAGGTATTCTTTTCTCGATCCCCGACCTCCAGGGGTGAGATAACACAATGCAATAAATCAGTAGATACATATAAGTATAACTCTTGTTTTACTACCATTTCATTTCCACGAGTTTAACCCGCTATCAGAAAAATAGTAACATTCTGAGGTTCCATGATATGACCTTCGTTGAAGAAGTTCCTTGTACTAATGGATTCATTCCTTTTTCTATCTTCAGACATCAAAGATGGCCGATATTGGACACAGCGGTTACCGAATAGCATTGATCTTGCTGACATGTCTCGTGTTAGGTGTGACGCTTTTCTTCAACTACTTGGGATCAGGCCAAGCTGGCAAGGATCTCGGTAAGTCGCATGATCATCAGGTCAATTATAGCCGACTAGGTTTCTGAGACATTCGACTCAATCATTTCAACATTTGATTTTATTGCTGAAACAGCAGACTAAATCACAGAGCATTCGACCAAATCACAACTTAGTAGACCAAGTCACAGAAACAGCCAACAAAGTCACAGAAACATTTGACTCAATCATAGAAACAACATTGCACTCATTCATAGAAACAGTACACTTAATCACAGAAACAGTACACTTAATCACAGAACAGTACACTTAATCACAGAAACAGTACACTTAATCACAGAAACAGTACACTTAATCACTGTTAACACTTAATCACAGAAACAGTACACTTAATCACAGAAACAGTACACTTAATCACAGAAAAAAGTCTCAATCAATGAGCATCCGACTAATTCACATAATAAGTAGACCAAGTCACAGGAATACATTTTATACAAATATACATTTAACTTATCTAATTAATCAAAGAGGAAGCCGACTTAGTCACAAAATATTCGACTCAATCACAGAAACATTCGACTTAAACATAGAAACATTCGACCAGGTCACTAATACATTCGATGGGTGGTCGGGTGGTGCAGTGGATAGCGCACTTGCCATTCACGAAGGCGGCCGGGGTTCGATTCCCCGATCGGACGTGAAAAGGTTGGGGTCACCTGCCCGACCACGTGGGTTTTCTCCGGGTACTCCGGTTTCCTCCCACAATAAGACCCCCCACGCGCTAACAACCGGGCCAACAAGAGTGATTAATATAAGTTAACTTGTTTCATAATTGTTGTAAAATAAATAAAGTTTATATTTATATTTATATTTATAATACTTTCGATTAAATCTTAGAAACATTCGACTCAGTCATAGAAACATTCGACCAAATCACAGAAACATTCGACTAAATCACAGAAAACAATATAAGACCAAGTTACCGAGATAGCTGGTCGAGCAATTTGCCAGTATCAGTTTGATGATTAAGATATTAAAAAGATGTCTAAGTTATCCTTGAATTTCCTTTTTTATATTACAGGAATCTACGAGAGTGATACCGGCGACATATCCGATTATTTTTACCTTGAAATAACCCCCGCAGGCTGGACATTCACAATATGGGCTTTCATCTACGTTTGGCAAATCATCTGGCTTATATACGGACTATCTACCATCTGTCGGAAGACTGACAGCGGTATTTACATCTATCAGCTTCCGGTCATGCCCCCTGCTATTTATATTGTCTACATTCTCAATCTTGGGTTCAACATTGCCTGGATGTTACTTTTTGACAGGAAGTACATAGAAATTGCCCTGGCAGACATCATTCTTATGGCACTGACCCTTTATGCTATCCTGATTATTTCATCTCGGGCCGTGCGCAAAAACCTCAGCGTATTGATTAAAGATGGCGCAGGAAAGGAAGCTTGGTTCATACGCTTTTTCCTTCATAACGGAATAGCGTTTTATGTTACTTGGGTCACCGTTGCTACACATCTTAATGTTGCCATGGTGATGCATTACAGTGCAGGAGTAGCCAATGACATCTCGTGTACCATAGCACTCGGCATGTTGACCTTTTTCGTGATGTTGTGGTTTGTGACAGAGAACGTCCTCCTTGACGCATACACCAGGTACCTGTTTAGCCCGTACATCGTCCTCGTCGTAGCCCTTATTGGATCGATTGCGAAAAACTTTGACCTTGAACTTCGGTACCGGAACTCAATCCTCTCGGTCATTCTTTTAAGCATGTCTGGTTTTTTCTTGTTCCTGAAACTGATCATCATCATTGTCCGTCATAACCGCGCACCGTTGTCTCCAACAGTGTACTCTCCCACAACTTCGGAAAAGTCAACGAAGTCGGCAGCGTGAAAGCCTACAGATGTTTCCACCTCTACCTAAATTGAAAGTCCATAGATCTATACTGAACGAAATCTTTAACAATATACTTAATAAAAACTTCCAAGCGAATATATCTTGTTCTACTAATGAATCAGTTTACTCATGTAGATTTTAAACTCAAACAACAGCATGCACATATATAGGTGAACATGGTACATGCAGGCTATTTGCCGATTTTATACAAAAAGACACCTACGGTTACATTTCTGGATATTTATTATATATGATGTACATGATACATATGATACAGGCACTTTCTCCTAGCACCACTTGCACTATCGTGTCTACATAATGTAGAAGTTTTCCGTTCATATGCATTTTTTTTCATTTCTTTATCCTTTTTTTCTCTCCTGTTTGAAACTTTTTAATAACGATATATTTAGAAGTACACTGATTGTCGACGACATCAAGAAGATACTTTTAACGATTATCAAAGTTCTGACATTTAATATGACGACCCATAGACTTGCATAAGCCCCACTTATGTCGAGTGTACGGCCCCTGTATAGGGTACTGAACATTCTATGCTTCACACAAATAACATCTTTAGTTAAATACACACCCATGAGTTATTCGACCATATGTAGCTTGTCAGTGTACAGAGTCCTTTTCAGAAGATTATCTAAATTTACACACACTTATTTGTATGATTTCGCTTTGTACTTGTATATACATTTTAATGTACATTAAATATTTACAACAACTTATCGAATTTAACGTTTTCCCTGTCCATATGCCGATTTTTTAATGATTGACATTATTTTTTAAATGTTCATTGATGCTGTAATATGTTAAAATGATGTTGCAAAAACCCTTACACTCAAAAAAAGGTCGCCAGATGTTTCTATTAGTGATACGCTGTGTAACATCTCCGTAAAAGCTAAGGTAATTTAATTGAGGACAATTTCATCAAACGATGGATCATTTTAGAGGGTCATATCACTGAAATGTTATAAAACCTAGATTCGATAACATAACGTTACTCCACACGGTCACAAGATCACAAGAGGATTTTAATATTTTAATTTTGGTGAGAATATTAGAAGTTGGATAAAGCATTACATAATAATTCTATGTCTGCAATTAATCAAGGTGGTAATCTCTCATCTTTTTTTTTAAATTAAGAGGGGTTTCCGTCAAGGTGATCCGATAGCTCCATACATTTTTATTTTGTGTTCAGAAATACTTGCAATTAGACTTAGAAATAATAATTATATTAGAGGTATAAATATAGACAACTCTCCACTACTTCTCTCACAATATGCAGATGATATGTCTCTCATTTTAGATGGAACGAAACAATCATTAAAAGAATCAATAAAAGAGCTTAATTTATTTGCAAAAAATTCTGGTCCTAAAATGAATAAAAGTAAAACACAAGTTACATGTATATGGAAAGGCAGTAAAAAGTACAGTGATGAGATATATTATCCGGAATGGAACCTACAATGGGGAAGTCAAACATTTATGGTATTAGGTATAGAATTTCATGTAGATTTACATCAATCCCTAAATTAAACTATGATAAAAGATTAGTGAAACTTAAGTCAATAATTAAGAATTGGAGAAGACGAATATTAACACCAATAGGAAGAATACAAATAATTAAATCATTATTAATATCCCAATTAATCATCTATTTATCTCCTTACCAAATCCAGATGAAATTTTTATTAAAACATTAAATTCAGAAATTTTTAATTTCTTATGGAACATGTCCAATGATGATACTTTAAATACTTTGATTAGTTATCCATACATACCCTTAAATTTAGAAATATTTATGAGGCAAAAAAAAGGAACTCAAGATTTTTATAAGTTGTTGTGCCAAAATAGTACCATATCCACTGGGAAAAACAAATGGAATGAATTGTTTGAATTTGATGATGACACATGGAAATTGATATATATGCTTCCATTTACAGTAACTAGAAATTCAAAATTACAATGGCTTCAATACAGAATAAATCAACACATTTTAACAACAAACTCTTATCTAGTTAAAGCAGCTCTTACCGATAGTGCTCTTTGTTTTCAATGTAAGACTGAAATAGAGACAATAATTCACACACTATGGGAATGTGAGAAAGTACAAGACTTTTTACAAAATTTTGAGTTCCTTCTTGATGCATTGTTAATCCCATTTGGTTTTAACAAGGAAACCTTCATTTTCGGTTTATTTAATCAAAATAGTATCAGTAGTAGTGTAGATAATACAATAATTTTATTTATAAAACAATATATTTATAAATCGAGATGTTTACAAATGTCATTGTCAGTAGCTGCACTTAAGAACCTTATCAAGGACACATATTTTACTCAGAGATATATTGCTGTTAATAAAAGTGAATTATTTTTATTGAAATTCAATACTGAATGGAAAAAATGGGAAAGTCTAATTAATATTGCGTAAGCCCTGTCCTTCCAAAAATATGAACATATAACTATCGAATTTTCTTATATAAACGTGTACTTCTAAATACTTATATGTAAAACTCCTTGAACTTTCCGACACATCTATATAGCTTCTTTATTTCTCAATCTCCAACCCCCGCCCCCCTCAATTTTTCTTTTTCTTTTCTTTTTCTTTTTTCTTTTTTTTCTCTCCCTTAGTCTTACTTTCCCTTCTATACCTCTAGGACCTGCTCTAACCTCTTTTCTATCACTTCTAAACAATGCTTTTATATAACGGACACAATTCAGCTGTAATTTAATTATACATAAACATAATTAATTATTAATTATACCTGGAAATATGAAGTTTGTTATAAATGAATATTTAATGAATGAATTGTAATGTGTGAGAGGAATAATGTTTATGCATGATATATTTGCATTGTTATAAATTTGGAAAAAAAATACAAAAAAAAGATCACAAGAGGCGACTAATGAGGTTTTCATTTTTTGCCGTTTTCGTAAAAAAAAATGATTGCAATAGTTGTTCCTGTTTCTACTCTTTTATTTAATAAAAAGTTGTATTTCAACATTTAATCTAAATAATATTTTATTTGATAATCAAACGTGTGTATTACACATACATATGTTTTCAGAGGAAAGGAAAAAAGGCTTGGAGTTTATCATTAATAATCCTTCTCAATATATAGAAGGAAAATATTTCTTCGAAACTGGGACACATTTATTGCAATATGTATTTAATAAAGATAAAGTTTCATAATCATTTGACATATCTAACGTTAACATATCTACATATATGGAACTGGAATAGATATCACAAAGGCATCGATGATGAAGCTTTTATTCCAAATGAGTGCACTCAATGACCTGTACTTTTGTGACGTCAAACGAGATGGGAACATATTTTTATGACATCACAGTCTTGCCCGTCAAGATTTCATTCGACTGACAAAAGCGTTAGTTCGTGTTGTTATCTATATCTCTATATGAAAAGTGATAAAACAAGTTTGACCATATTCATGTTGAAAAAAGTAACTCATATACAGCCATGAAATATTAAAAACTATTTTCACGGGAAGCTGTCGAACTAACACACGTATTGGATCTTGATTAAAGCGCTTTGAAAACACTGACGTGGTTTGTTACGAGCAGACGTTTCCGAAGATGGCTGTCTCTCAAAGAGAACGTTTTCAAGAAATATCAGAGCAGGGTTAAACACAGTTGAAAATGTGTTGTGTTGCATTTTTTCATGTGTATACAAATGTAGTCCGTACATATAATTATTAGTAACAAAACAGTTAAGTCATGCCCCTTCAGTCAATAGTCAAAACAGTTTTCCCTCGGTGTTGGGACTAACGTGGTGAACTATCACCCGCAGTCTACGGCATTGGGAAATATTTCACCAGGTTGGTCCCAACGCTTCGGCAAAACAGTTTTGACATGCATGGATTAACTGTACACTATCAACTGACAACAACCTAGAAATAACAATTATATCACAAGTTTATTATAAGAGGTCTTGAATGCATCTTTATAGAGGTAGCTTTAACAGTTTTCTTGCTCTTCTAAACATGTTCTTCGTTTACGTGTACGTTAACATGTTAAGGAAACTAACGTGATAGAGAGGAAGACATTGTCACAAAACTGCCTTTTTAAAATCAATGACAGTTTCATCAAATCCACGTGAAGAAAGTACAAAACTACACTTCATTCGGCTTCAAAGTCAGTTCAGAAAAGCCTCACAGCAATACATTGTACTGTCAAACTTATAGAATAAGAAAACATCATAACAGACTAAATAAACTGACAATCTTCCACACCTTAATCCTTTCACATTTCAACATCTGTCCACTGTCTTCGCACTTCTGCCCGGAACAAAATGTAAGAAACAAATCACTATAAGGCGCTCAGATATAATTATGATGACTTTTATAGTTCTTGTAACGACCTCTTAACGACGGTCTCACATATGTATATACATTATTTAAAGGCATCTACTTTCTACATCTCTATCCTCTAAATCTCTATCCTCTACATATCTGGCCTCTACATCTCTATCCTCTACATATCTGGCCTCTACATCTCTATCCTCTACATATCTGTCATCTACATCTCTATCATCTACATCTCTATCCTCTACATCTCTGGCCTCTACATCTCTATCCTCTACATCTCTTTCCTCTACATATCTGGCCTCAACATCTCTATCCTCTACATTTCTGGCCTCTACATCTCTGGCCTCTACATCACTGGCCTCTGCATCTCTATCCTCTACATCTCTGGCCTCTACATCTCTGGCATCTACATCTCTATCCTCTACATCTCTGGCCTCTACATCTCTGGCCTCTTCATCTCTATCGTCTTCATCTCTGGCCTCTACATCTCTATCGTCTACATCTCTATCGTCTACATCTCTGGCCTCTACATCTCTATCGTCTACATCTCTATCGTCTTCATCTCTGGCCTCTACATCTCTATCGTCTACATCTCTATCGTCTACATCTCTGGCCTTTACATCTCTGGCCTCTAAATCTCTATCCTCTACATCTCTGGCCTCTGCATCTCTATCCTCTACATCCCTGGCCTCCTCATCTCTATCCTCTACATCTCTGTCCTCTACATCTCTGGCCTCTTCATCTCTATCCTCTACATCTCTCGCCTCAACATCTCTATCCTCTACATCTCTGTCCTCTACATCTCTGGCCTCCTCTTCATCTCTCGCCTCTCCATCTCTATCCTCTACATCTCTGTCCTCTACATCTCTGGCCTCCTCTTCATCTCTCGCCTCTCCATCTCTATCCTCTACATCTCTATCTTCTACATCTCTGGCCTTTACATCTCTGCCCTCTAAATCTCTATCCTCTACATCTCTGGCCTCTACATCTCTATCCTCTACATCTCTGGCCTCCTCTACATTACTGGCCTCTACATTTCTGGCCTCTGCATCTCTATCCTCTACATCTCTGGCCTCCTCATCTCTATCCTCTACATCTCTGGCTTCTACATCTCTATCCTCTACATCTCTGGCCTCTGCATCTCTATCCTCTACATCTCTGGCCTCTACATCTCTATCCTCTACATCTCTGGCCTCTACATCTCTATCCTCTACATCTCTGGCCTCTACATCTCTATCCTCTACATCTCTGGCCTCTACATCTCTATCCTCTACATCTCTGGCCTCTACATCTCTATCCTCTACATCTCTATCCTCTACATCTCTATCCTCTACATCTCTATCCTCTACATCTCTGGCCTCTACATCTCTGGCCTCTACATCTCTGGCCTCTACATCTCTATCCTCTACATCTCTGGCCTCTTCATCTCTATCCTCTACATCTCTGGTCTCTACATCTCTGGCATCTACATCTCTATCCTCTACATTTCTGGCCTCAACATCTCTGGCCTCCTCTACATCTCTGGCCTCTGCATCTCTATCCTCTACATCTCTGGCTTCTACATCTCTATCCTCTACATCTCTGGCCTCCTCTACATCTCTGGCCTCTACATCTCTATCCTCTACATCACTGGCCTCTACATCTCTGGCCTCTGCATCTCTATCCTCTACATCTCCGGCCTCTCCATCTCTGGACCCTACATCTATATCCTCTACATCTCTGGCCTCTACATCTCTATCCTCTACATCTCTGGTCTCTGCATCTCTATCCTCTACATCTCTGGCCTCCTCTACATCTCTGGCCTCTACATATCTATCCTCTACATCTCTGGCCTCTACAACTCTATCTTCCACATCTCTGGCCTCTACATCTCTATCCTCTACATCTCTGGCCTCCTCTACATCTCTGGCCTCCTCTACATCTCTGGCCTTTACATCTCTGGTCTCTACATCTCTGGCATCTACATCTCTATCCTTTACATTTCTGGCCTCTACATCTCTGGCCTCCTCTACATCTCTGGCCTCCTCTATATCTATATCATCTACATCTTTGGCCTCCTCTATATCTCTGGCCTCTACATATCTATCCTCTACATCTCTGGTCTCTACATCTCTGGCATCTACATCTTTATCCTCAACATTTCTGGCCTCTACATCTCTGGCCTCCTCTACATCTCTGGCCTCTACATCTCTGGCCTCCTCTACATCTCCGGCCTCCTCTACATCTCTGGCCTCCTCTAAATCTCTGGCCTCTACATCTCTGGTCTCTACATCTCTGGCATCTACATCTCTATCCTCTACATTTCTGGCCTCTAAATCTCTGGCCTCCTCTACATCTCTGGCCTCCTCAACATCTCTGGCCTTTACATCTCTGGTCTCTACATCTCTGGCATCTACATCTTTATCCTCACCATTTCTGGCCTCTACATCTCTGGCCTCCTCTGCATCTCTGGCCTCCTCTACATCTATATCATCTACATCTTTGGCCTCCTCTTTATCTCTGGCCTCTACATATCTATCCTCTCCATCTCTGGTCTCTACATCTCTGGCATCTACATATCTATCCTCTACATCTCTGGCCTCTACATCACTGGCCTCTACATCTCTATCCTCTACATCACTGACCTCTACATCTCTATCCTCTACATCTCTGGCCTCCTGCCTCTACATCTCTGGCCTCTTCATCTCTATCGTCTTCATCTCTGGCCTCTACATCTCTATCGTCTACATCTCTATCCTCTACATCTCTGGCCTCTGCATCTCTATCCTCTACATCTCTGGCCTCTGCATCTCTATCCTCTACATCTCTGGCCTCTACATATCTGGCCTCCTCTACATCTCTCTGGCCTCCTCTACATCTCTGGCCTCTACATCTCTATCGTCTACATCTCTATCCTCTACACCTCTATCCTCTACATCTCTATCGTCTACATCTCTATCGTCTACATCTCTGGCCTTTACTTCTCTGGCCTCTAAATCTCTATCCTCTACATCTCTGGCCTCTGCATCTCTATCCTCTACATCTCTGGCCTCTGCATCTCTATCCTCTACATCTCTGGCCTCTACATCTCTGGCCTCCTCTACATCTATATCATCTACATCTTTGGCCTCCTCTCCATCTCTGGCCTCTACATCTCTATCCTCTACATTTCTGGCATCTACATCTCTGGCCTCCTCTACATCTCTATCCTCTACACCTCTATCCTCTACATCTCTATCTTCTACATCTCTGGCGTCTACAACTCTATCCTGTACACCTCTATCCTCTACATCTCTATCCTCTACATCACTGACCTCTACATCTCTATCCTCTACATCTCTGGCCTCCTCTACATCTATATCATCTACAACTTTGGCCTCCTCTACATCTCTGGCCTCTACATCTCTGGCATCTACATCTCTATCCTCAACATTTCTGGCCTCTACATCTCTGGCCTCCTCTACATCTCTTCTACATCTCTGGCCTTTACATCTCTGGCCTCTAAATCTCTATCCTCTACATCTCTGGCCTCTGCATCTCTATCCTCTACATCTCTGGCCTCTACATATCTGGCCTCCTCTACATCTCTACCCTCTACATCTCTATCCTCTACATCTCTATCGTCTACATCTCTATCGTCTACATCTCTGGCCTCTACATCTCTATCCTCTACATCTCTGGTCTCTACATCTCTGGCATCTACATATCTATCCTCTACATCTCTGGCCTCTACATATCTGGCCTCCTCTACATCTCTATCCTCTACATCTCTGGCCTCCTCTACATCTCTGGCGTCTACAACTCTATCCTGTACATCTCTATCCTGTACATCTCTATCCTCAACACTCTCGCCTCTACATCTCTATCCTTTACACTTCTATCCTCTACATCTCTATCCTCTACATCCTATCCTCTACATCCTATCCTCTACATCTCGATCTTCTACATCTCTGGCTTCTACATCTTTATCCACTACACCTGTTTCTTTTTTAATTTTGTTTTTCGAAGATTAATGATTGAAACAAATATTACCTAATGTGCTTTGAATGCATGAACATAATATTACACCATGTCTCTGAAACCATGATTTTGTATGTGTGTGTCGGTCACAAGCTCAGAGCTTAATTATAGAAATGTTATTTGTTATACCAACCAACTCTAAATAAGATTTGCCTTCGTCCTCTTATGTCAATGTACTGTATATGTATGTACACTAAACGTATAATATATGTCGGCCAAGAGCTCTACATAGCTTCATTTATATGCATGTGCAAATGTACAATGTATATATATTGTACAGAGTTTATTTATTTGAATGTACAGCTCTTTATATAGTTATACCCACCGACCCGAAATAAGATTGATCTTATCCTATACCACAATTCAACACGAAGAGGTATTGTTCTATTTCCCGAACAAAATAATGATACATTAACCCCGATTGTTTATATTTCATTATTTTCAATTCATAGTCCATAGCAATGATTATGGTTTCTTTAATTATAGAAAAAGCAAACGTTGAAAGTCACTACAACTGGTACGTATAAAGTTCTATATACATAATTTTGTGCTTTACCTTGAGTACAAATGCACCAGGGCCTTTTTTAAGTGTACTGTAACCATCCTGACAATTCCCCACCTCTAACTGGGACGCTATAAAACTTACACAACACGTACTTCTAAGTTACTCATTGTCAAGGGGAGATGACTCGTATTCACAATTTACTTGCTTATATAACGGACACACATCAAATTCAACCCCTGGTAAATTATATCCACCAATTATATCTACCAAGTCCAGGTCTGTATTGTAGCAAGTGTACAAGATACAAGAAACTTTATTTAACGTCGCATACAGGTAAACAAGGAACATTAGCTATTGAGAGCTATTATTCGGACAAACAAATTTATCAAGTTTTGTAAAAAAAACAATTTTTTAGAATATATGGAATTAAAATACAAATAAGATGCTGCAAAAATATATAGAATAGAAATAAAACATAGAAGAAATGAAATAAGACAATAAAAGTTTCACACAATACAAAATGTCAGGTGGCAGAGGTAACCGGTGCACAGTATGACGTATCACTCTTTGCAGATATTGCAAAGGCAGATGGGGCCATCCCAGGAATGGTGTTTTGTTGCTGTTGGTCACCTTTTGGATCGATTGAGACAATCTTGATGGGTTTCTGGACCCAAGTGCATTGCCTGAATTCCCAATCTTCTGTCTACGTAGCTTCTATCGGACCATTTTTCACTTCATTTGATTTGATAACAAGCTATTGCAACTTATCCGTTATATTAAAAATCTGACCGTTTATATAGTGAGTGGTATTGTTTAACAAGTGACATCCCCCTTAATGTATGTTCTGGGTGCATTCTGTTAAAATTCTTCTTTAGAAGTATTAACACTCGCAGTACGCTCATCATACATGTATAGACGTATGAGCTGTATCTTCATCTATTTGCATCCAATTTCATTCATTTATTACTGTTCATTAAGATAAGATTGCGTTGGATCCTGGAAACTTGAAACATGCATATAAAACACTTAATTTAGCTTTCAACATGAAAACGTCAGCAATTTTGCATTGGTTTTTGTACTAAATGTTTCGAGCATATTTTGGGAGGGTAAGAATTTACCTCGGCACATTTCAAAATTGTTTACATAAGGAAAGAAATATCACGCGGCAGCCCACGAGGAATACATAAATAACCAACGTAACAAGGGACTCAGTGACATCTACAAACGTCTATCGATCAGAACTGTCGTGGGAAAATCACGCACTGGAACGGTATGTATGTTATATTTAATGTAGATTGTACCTGCTATTATATTTTATAGTATGTTTTGTATAGACTCTTGTATATTTGTTTTATATATATTAACATTTCCACAATTAATTTAAGAAGTAATACGCATATCGGAAGTTCATCCTTAAAATCTTTCGGCGGTATAGATTGTCGCCATTTTATCAAGTTTTCAATAAAACAGTGATGTAGCTCTGGCATGTATATTTACCACGTATTTCTATATATTTTGTGAATCTTTTTGGCTAACACCATCGTACGACCACTATGCAGTTTATATGGTTGAAAACAATCGGTTACAAATGCGCATACCTTTAATTTAGGCCCTGCTCTGCTCTGCAGTTAGTGACCGATGAATATATTAGTGACCGTTGTATGTACACGTTTATAAATAGAACTCGGACACTACATGTGATTCTGAAGTAGTTTATACAGCCTATAGGTCACTCACCGTCGCCACTAAGTAAACACTGACCGAATTGCTGAAGATTAAGGTCAGGAATAGAGTGGTCAGTACAGTTGATATACATGTATATATATATATATTAATCATCGGTGATATCACGGAATCTAAGTCCGTGGTGATATACATCATTAGTCTCCACAGAGACGTATACTAGCACAGAGAGACGTAAACACGCCTCTGGTCAGCATTCTACATATGTATGTCAAGGTGTTATATGAGTGGGTTTTATTTACCATTACATGTATGCTAGTTTGGACTTGGTACTGAAGTGAATCTGAATTAGCTAATTCCGTAATTAAGGTATTTCATACAGGCTCATGTCGGTGTATATAGTATGAAATGGGCTCATAACTTTTCCTTAAAATGATAAAAATATGGAAGTTGGTTTGTACACCCATGTCAAGAACAGTGTTAATAATGACCTTTGCAGAAATTGTTTGTTGAAAATATTGTTGACTTTGTCTGAAAAGTAACGTTTTCAATGCAGAATTTTAGTGGCGCAAAATTGCAATGAATAATGAAATTAATGAAAAAACTTCACTGTACATGCATTCCTGACGTATCAGTGTATTGACTATTATCGAGAAAAATGTAGGAAAATGTGTCAAATCTCAAGAATGATGGAATAATTGCCACTGAATAAATCACAACTGGGCATAAAGCCAACAAGGCTGACTGAAGTTGGAAAAAAGCATGCAAAAAAACCCAAGTGCGATTTTACCTGTACACCATTCAAAACACTGCAGATTCTTACTCGGGTAATCTGACTTGACTTGTATCAATGGCCTTGTTAGCTTCATAAATTATTGTAAAATACATGGTATCTAATGAAAATACATGCCTTCATTCTTGAGATTTGAAGTATTTTCTTACATTTTTCTCAATAATAGTCAATGCACCGATACTTCAGGAATGAATGTACAGGTAAGTGTTTTCATGAATTATAATATTCAATGCAATTTTGCGCCACTAACATTCTGCATTCAAAAGTTAGATTTCAAAATCAAAAATATTTTCGACAAATAATTTCTGCAAAGGTCATTATTGACATTGTTCTTGACATGGGTATACCAAACAGCTTCCATATTTTTTTCATTTTGAGGAAAATTGATGAGCCCATCACATACTATATATACCTTAAACACATTTTTAATACGTGAAACAATAGAGTAGACGTTTGCTGGTTTTTACAATATTTAGGTACTAATAGGCACATAACCTTGACCAAAGATATAAAACGCTTTCTGACCAATTCTTGACCAGTGACATGTACTACTTCAATAAAAATGATTTGGGTAGCCTCACACGTACGAAAGGGGGGCAACTGCAATCGCTTTGTATGTTGTAGTTGTGGTCAATGTATCTCATCCTCGAAATTCTAGGGTTACGCCCACGTGCGTTCTCTGTTCGCACGTAAGAGAGTGTAGGTAAAGGGTAGAAAAGTGAGTCGGTATTCGTCCAGAAGTTGTAGAATCCTCAACGAAAACATACATGTACAACTGATGAATAGGTGTTCACTTATAATATACGTGCGCCTCTGCTTATTGTATACACCTCTTAATCAATTTCAGGTGCTAAATGTAATTCGTTAAGATAAGTGCGAGATTTTATTATGTCACACGTGCACGAGTTACAGGAACGAGTAACTACAGGTAAATTTAAAATAAATAATTACCTTAATTGTTAAACATATTTTTTAGAGTTTTCAAGATGGCGGAGCACAGCGGCCTACGTATTTTGCTGATTCTTCTGACCTTGGTGGTGTACATCGTCATGGTGGTCTTCAACGCTCTTGGCGGATCTGTCGGTCAGGAGATAGGTAAGCTGGTCAATCTGACCGTTGCTCTAGATCTGTAAATGCGCGATTGTCCATCACGGTCTAAACCTGATTGGCAAACCAATACATGTTGTTAGATATGGTTCATTAAACCAAAATCAAACGATTTCCATATTTAATGTTTATTCTTAATGATACAATGTACTATGATCACATGTATACTGAAAGGTAATTTACTGGAAGTTTATATGCCACGCCCCCTGATCTCTCATCTTTGTTCAAGATTGGAGAATTATTTCTGCCCCCNTTGTCCATCACGGTCTAAACCTGATTGGCAAACAATACATATTGTTAGATATGTTTCACTAAACCAAAACCAAACGATTTCCATATTTAATGTCTATTCTTAATGATACAATGTACTCTGATCACATGTATACTGAAAGGTAATTTACTGGAAGTTTGTGTGCCACGCCCTCTGACTCTCATCTATGTTCAAGATTGGAGAATTAAAATCTCAATAATCTCAAATAAGATAATAAGACTATAAAGAAATACACACTTAACATGTATCTAGCATTATACCACAGGCTTATTAATTAATATTTCTAGGATTTATACTTCTTGGATTTACATTGTCAATGGTCTATCTGTTTAAGATATATTATTAGCTAAATATTCCACAATCCACTTTAAATTTCATAGACTGATTGATGCATTGCAAAATATAAATATGTTAATATTTACAGGGCTATTTAAGAACACGACCGGTGAGATCTCGAACTTGTTCCGCCTCCAGATTACTCCCGCGGGCTGGACGTTCAGTATCTGGGGCGTTATCTACGCATGGCAGGCTCTCTGGCTAATCTACGCCCTCACTACCATCTGTCGCAAAACAAAGTCTGGGAGCTACTTCTACCAACTTCCGGTTCTTCCACCGAGTATCTATATTTTATATATTATCAATAACATAGCTAACGTCGCCTGGCTGTTCGTATGGGATAGTCAGGAAATCATATGGTCACTGGTGGTCATCGCCATCACTCCGATCACGCTGTACGTGGCGCTGGCCATTTCATTCCAACGACTGTACCACAATCTTGGGAACCTTAACAAGGAGAATGCCGTCAAAGATATCTGGCTCATCCGCTTTTTGGTACAGAATGGCATGGCTTTATATGCCGCTTGGGTAACCATAGCTACATTACTCAATGTTTCAATGGTGATGATATACAAAGGTAACGTTTCAAACGAAGATTCCTGTACTGTCGTTCTGGGTATCTTGTCTTTCTTCATAGGCACATGGGTCGTCCTGGATAACACGATATTAGACCCCTACGTTCGGTACACCTTTAGCCCTTACATCACTATTACCGTCGCGTTGGGTGGTGTGGTTGCTAAGAACTACGACCTTGCACTCCGGGAACGGAACTCCTTATTTTCACTGACTCTTCTCATTATAGCTGCCGTGCTGTTGGTTACCAAATTTATTATAATGACTGTACGTCACTTCCGTGATCCAATTTCACCAAAAATAGAATACGAACCCACAATTTGAATACAGATGTGCTGAATCAGTTTAGTTCTACGTTACATTCGAGTTTTAGTCCGAATTATTCTGACGTTTTATCGACTTTTTTATATCGGTCTGTCGTCGATTAATCGACGACAGATCGATATGAAAAAAGTCGATAAAACGTCAGAATAATTCGGACTAATTCGAGTTTGTTCTACCGGAAGTAGGATAATTAATATTATTTCTAATAGTATGTTTATAATCTATTGAAACTGGTTGTATGCATTGGTTAATCAACTCAGATATCTTTACTTTCAGTCCGCATAAAATGTCTCTATTTCCAGTTCACTTATAATTCAGTTAAGACATCTCTACGTCGTTCACTGATGTGTCAAAACTTCACCCAGTACAGGGATCATACATTATGTACTTCTGTATGTTACGAAGTACAGCTAATATAGGGATCATACAATATATAGCTATGTGGCGGATAGTAGGGACGGCGTGCTGTATTTGTAGGTTGTCCAATATGTAATTAATTTGAGAATGAATTACTGTAATAGTAACAGTGGAAGAATTTTTTTTTTCAAATTTATATATAATTTTTTTCAAATTTTGATTGTTTTACCATCAGAGGGCTATTTCTTGAAAACGAAATTTTTGTTTTCATTCTATTTCAAATGGTCATCGGATTGGAAAAAATATGAAAAAAGTGTTTTTCGAAGTCGTTTAAGTGCATGATATCGACCACCAGTTCATTTCATAGTACTTATAACTTAAGTTTCATATTTATATCTATTAGTTATATTTTTCTTCATACAGCCCACTCAAGCTTCTTTACTCTTTGATATATATTCCACTTTCCTAAAACTACATACGACAGTGGAGAACGGATGCCTCAGGTGCTAAATCTCTTCTAGTTCATAAATGTATCAATTTACGTGTTAAGCTTTAAATAGAATCAAGCCAATCATTAGGAATAATTAATATTACAACGAGGAATGAATACAATAGGCTACCTGCTTTATGTCTAGAAGTAAAATGTTGTTTATTGTTAGAATACTTACCTAAATACACATCACTAAGTGTTTTCTCGTGTCTCTGTAGTATCTTATTTCTCAGGTGTGATTCGGTCAAATTTACGCAATTGTTGTACCTGCATATGGTTACTGTTTTACCAGTATCAGATGTATGGTGTTATATATATGTCACGCTGTATCACTAAGTTCCTTTGGGTTTATTGTGGTTTTCACATCAAATAATCACTGGAAAGCTTACAAAGTGTCCGACCGAAAAATACCTCTCAGATATGCTAGTCTGTGTGTAGATCTAGTTTCCTGTATTTTGCTTTATGTTGTAATATATCTGCTGTATAAAATTGTGTTGCGCTCTTGTCATACATTGACTTTGTAATGTCGCGGTGGTCTCCCCATCTGTTATAACTGTTTGAATATCTGTCATTTACGAACAAAAGCAGTACTAGTAATTATTTCTGAAAGAGAGCATGTGAAACATGTTGTATATTTTAGTTTTTATAACTGAGTTTTGTAATAAACATATTTTTAAATAAATAACAGGTTTTTTTTGTGAATTTTCAAGAATATTAGCCTCTGTTATACCGGGTACTGTTATTTGACAAAAAGGTAGTGCTGAACATCAGTTGCTTGACGGGACGGCAGAGGAAATGTTTGTCAGATGGTGACCACAGGGACCTGAAAATATGTTACAGCTATAGTTGAACCTTTCTACCTAGGTATCTATCATCATTTAGGGTGGCATTTTTACCGAAAGTTGATCTAAACCACTAAAAGTTGTAAATTACTCTGAACACCATCATGGTTATAAGATCCAAATAAACATTACCTCGATATCCAGGGGTAACCGCTCTCTGCAGACGGCGTACGTGAGCGTAATCCCTGTATATCGAGGATGAAATATACAGTGTAGCTGTAACAATTGTGGAAAGATTCTTGTAGCACAACCGATAAGTATTTATAAGTGACGTTTCGATGACTATAGTACGGTATGTACTCGTAGACTCTCGCACATCTATGACCAAGTATTAAACTACGCGTAGCTGAGTCGAGTCATTTCAGTACATATATAACAACTATTGTACATACGCTTACAGCGTAGCCGAATCGACCTCGATTTTCGTAGACAACTCGTACATATTCAACACCTGTTTCTCATGAAGGTGACAGACAGCGTTCATACCGTACTAGTCATTGAATGTGCTACATGAATTTCACTATCAATACTTACCAACCTGAAGAAAATGTTCAGAAATATCTGTAATAAATTCTCGGGTGTTATAACAAACACTGTTGTATGCAGACTTTGGTCAGAGGGATCGGCCCAAGATTCGAGCAGGTCTGTTTTGCCAATTATGGGATCGTACTCCTTAGGGTTTGGTTTAATCATACATGTATGTGACAACCACTTTGAAACTCCCGGTGTGTGGTATCCCCCATACGGAGACCAGTTTTCGCGGCATGTTTGTTGATGCCCCCAAACGTTTTGCCGTTCAGGGGTAGTTCAAGCCGGTCTTAAAATGTTCACGGGTTCTAACAGACTTCTGAACTGCCCATTGAACAAGCGTAACCTGTCAAGCCTTGGCCTGACATGTAGGCCAAGGTAGTCAGGTTTTACGTGCGAGCGTCGCCTTACTTTACCATCATTAGCTAATTATTGTGAAGATTGTAAATATTATATAGATAAATATGTAGATTAATAGAGATACGAAGAAGCTTGGCCACAACCCAATCTGTTATTTTTTGTTAATGATAGTAACCTAACAAGTGACAAATTCATAATCAGATCGTACAACTATTGAGATCGTACAACTATTGAGATCGTACAACTATTGAGATCGTACAAATATTGAGATCGTACAACTATTGAGATCGTCGTACAACTATTGAGATCGTACAACTATTGAGATATTACAACTATTGAGATCGTACAACTATTGAGATCGTACAACTATTGAGATATTACAACTACACAACTTTCATCACATCAACAAAATCTATGACAAAAGAGACATTTTCCACGTGAGTTTGCTTTCCTTTTCTCAACAGTAACACATCAACCTTCTCTGATTATAAAATTAATGACATTAATATGGCATAGTTCATTCACGATTCCAACTATGTTCTAAATATAATGATTTTATGGAAAGAAGCATCCAGATAGTAGACTACTTTTGAGTATTGCACATAGCCTGTATTAATCTATGATAGATTCGTTATGTATGGCTTGTTTTTAACTAAGATGCTTCCTCGTTTCATTTGACACATGTTTACTGTGTTTCCGATGTTAGAGACCGAATACTGTATTTGATTCAACAAGTGACCGAAAACTGCGTTTGATTCTACAAGTGGCCCAGTGGACCTGTATCGCTCACCTGAAAATTTAAGCAGTCGCAGAAAAATATTCTCATTAAATATTATACTGTACTACAAATATTTCACTCGCAAACTTTGTCGACTCCATCAGTTGAAACTACCAGTCAAATAGTATTATATGATTCTATGCTTTTTGGTTCTTCTTCAGAAGTTATTTGAAGTGTTTGACACATTTTCCCCTGTGACCTTGTAAGTAGGTCAAGGTCATTTTCCTTCTCAAACTTTGTTGGCTCTATTCCAAGAAGCTACCCGCCAAATCTTATGAATCCAATCCTTTTGGTTCTTCAGATAATCGTTTAAAATTGTGTTGACCTCTGTGACCTTTAAAGTAGGTTGAAGTCATTTTCATTTGCAAACGTCGGTGAGCTCTATCCCAAGAAGCCACCAGCCAGATATTATGATCCTATGCCTTTCGATTATTCAGAAGATGTCGTTTGATGTTTTTGACATATTTGACCCCTGTGACCTTGAAAGTAGGTCGAAGTCATTTTCATTCTCAAACTTTGTCCGGCTTTATCCCAGGAAGCACCAGTCAAGTAACACGAGTGAAATGTATTTGTTACTACTGAAGACACCTTTAAATTTTCTATATAATACATTTTTAGCTCACCTGGCCCGAAGGGCCAATGAGCTTATGGCATGGTGCGGCGTCCGTCGTCAACTTTTTACTTTAAACAACCAAAAGGTCCAGGCTGAGGATATTGGCCAGTAGCATGCTGGGATGTAGGACTACCAATTTTGTTCAAATGAATGACCTTCGCCCATATTCAAGGTCACAGGAGGATG